TTTCTTTATCCCCCCCCCCCCCAGGCCGTCAATGAAGTCAGTAATTGATCTTTCTTGACTGGCTTTGGGATGGGACATAGTGAGTTGGCTCATTCCTGTTCCTTTCTAATTGCATCCGATTTAAGGCATGGTGCCTTAAAAGTCTTGCTGCACTTTCTCATCTTTTTTTGTTTGTTTGTTTTTGTTTTCCCTTCCTTCCCACTTCTGTGGTAATCATCCATATTATCTGGTTTGGGTCTTGTAGGTCTTGATTTATGCACTTTCCAGGTTGGGAGCTCACCCTTTCCCTTTGGTAAGAACTGAGCCATGGATGGCACTGACTAGACGTAGTCTTTCTTATTAGTAGTCTCAGCTGGACCAGCCTGTAGGCACATGCATGTTTATTAGTAGTGCTAATGCGTCACTAATCCATACTTTGCTTCTCCCTTCTTGTGTACAGCTAAAGCATAGTGCTCTCAATGACTTACTTAATAATTTTAATAAATGGTTTTGTTCTTATATAATTACTTCATAATATTACCTGAATAATAGTTTCTAATACAAGATTAAATAAAAGCAAACTAAAATGTAAGACTAAAGAATTAGATTGTAGAGGACTACTAGATGTTATAAGGTGATGAATTTATGTTTTCAGATTGTAACTAAAATACTTTCAGTAATTTGTAATTGAAATTATTTACAAAAGATGGTTACTAACGTGTGATACTGAGTGTACATCCTGCTTCACATATTTGACAACTGACCTGATGATGGCACTGTTTTCCAAGTTAGAGCAGTTATTCATGCAATGACATCTTACAGATTCTTAATAGATTTTGCAGATGTTGCCAAATTGAAATCAGTTGTGTTTTTTCCTCAGGAAATGTATTTAGTTTGAAGAAAAGATAACTTCAGGTGTCATATAAACTAATAGATACATTGTAGCTAAATTTAGTAATAGCCTATTCAAAGTATTACCAGAATCCTGATAATTATAATTGAGAAATACAGGCTTCTTTTAAATTGGTGCAGTGTGTTAATGCATGTAGATAGTGTTCTCCATTTTGTGCATGTGCTAGACTCACCTCTTCGTTTATTTATCTTATTGTTTTAGATATTGGTCCCATTGGTGATGTGTCCTCTTTGCCTCAGCCAAGTGTCAGTCAGAGTTCACGACCGTTAACTGAAGAACAGCTAGATGGGATCCTCAGCCCTGAGCTAGACAAAATGGTCACAGATGGTAAAATATTTGTCCCACATTTAGGCTTTCTAAAATGGACTTTAAAAGCTTTGTGCATGCCATTTAAAGTTTGGACTTGTTTTCATAATTTTTCTATTATGGTAATAGGTATTTATTATTATGTTTTTTTTTTTTATTCTAGGAGCAATTCTTGGAAAGTTATATAAAATTCCAGGTATGTTTGTAGTCTGTTCTTTTACTTTATAAAAAATGGTATTGCCCATTGAACGACCCTAGTAATCTTCATCTTATTTCTGTGATGATTTTACCCAGAGCTTGGAGGAAAGGATGTTGAAGACTTGTTCACTGCTGTACTTAGTCCTGCTACAACTCAGCCAACTCCATTACCGCAAACTCCTCATCCACCACAGCTATTGCCAATGCACAATCAGGGTATGCTGTTACTTTTTAAGCATGATTCCATTTTTGTATGTATTTGCAAGTCTATATAAATATGTGCATACGGGGCACCCTTAGGTAGTGTTCCTTGACAGCTATCCTTGACACAATGCCCAATGCCCAGCTTTATTTATTTACCTATTAATGAGTGTGCAGAGTATAAGTGATGGTGCTTGCATGCGTGTGTCACTGATTTGATGCACTTAGCAATCAGAGGGCAATGTGCAGTAATCAAGGCTCTTTCCACCTTTTCGTTCTCCAGCTTGTTCAGAAGGGCCTTTACTTACTAAACCTTCTTGCTGGCCCAGTTTTGGAGTTCCATTATTTTTTTTTCTAATTTATTGTGTGTGTGTGTGTGTGTGTAGCTGTCTGGGCATGTGAGCACAACTTACAGGAATGGTTTCTTTGATCCTTTGGTTCCTGGAGGACTGACTTAGGTGGTGAGGCTTGGCAAAAGCAGTTCCTCTAACGACTCAGGCTTCTCACTCCCTCTCTCCCAGAGTTTTATGTTCTTAACGAATCACACACGCACACACATTGCCCTGTTATAGTGCCACATAACATAAAGGAGCCTACTTTGTGAATGATTGAGAAATACTACTTCTAGTCACACTCCATGCAGTTTTCTAGCTCACATGGTTCATCTTGACACGAGAACAGATTTTTCTCTCCTTTATTTTCGGTAGTGGCACTGTAATGGTACTTGGCCTCTCTTGTTTCCCCAGATCCACCCTAACTCACTTTTCACTCTGTTCATCCTCTCATGGGCACTACTGTCTTTGAGTGACCAAAGCAACTGAACGCAACAAATCTGGTCTTGATCATATATGTTCACAGTCAATCAGTGTCTTTTACCCATTTTTAAATTCCTGTGAAAAAAAAATTTTTTTTTTTGAAATTTGCCTATTTTATTTGGCCAATTTTCTTTTATCTACCAGTATCAATTTGCAATGTAAAGTTGGTTCAAGACTTCAGTTTTAGTTTTGTTTTTTTTCCTTTCTAGAGAGCTGAAATATGATAATTAAGATGTAGAGGAGTATATTTAAAGAGAGATTTAGAGCTGTAGGTGTAGGATTTTACAGGCAAGTGCATTCTTTTTCTTTTTCTTTTTGTTGTTGTTAATGTTAGTTCCCCCAAGACAGGGTTTGTCTGTGTAGCGCTGGCTGTTCTGTAACTTGCTCTATTGATTGGGCTGGCCTGCAACTCAGAGACATCTGCCTGCCTCTCTAGTGCTGGGATTAAAGGTGTATGCCACCAGTCCTGGCAAGTGTATATTTTAATAATTGGAAAGAATAACACAAGTATCCTTTGCTAATGCTGTAGTGTACTGGATTGTGTAATGTAATTATAAACTTATACAATTTTTCATATGTAATTAAATTTACAAATAATTTAATATACAAATTCATAGCACAAATACTCGAAATGCTTGAATGTTGACCAGTTTACTATTAAATGTAAATGTACCTTCAGGTTTTCCAGATTAATATTGAATTTACATTTTGGTAAAACTTGGGCTGGAGAAATAGCTCAGTGGTTAAGAGCAATGACTGCTCTTCACAGAGGACCCAGGTTCAATTTCCCGTACCCATGTGGCATCTCACAAGTGTCTGTAACTCCAGTTAGAAACAAACAAAAACAAAACAAACAAACATACATACATTTGGGTAAAACTCTTGCCTTAACTGTTTGTTGCTATAAATCATCAGTTCTCAACCTGTGGGTCACATCCCCTTTGGCAAACCTGTATCTTCAAAATATTTACATTATGATTCATAATAGTATGCATTTATAATTATGAAGTAACAATGAAAATAATTTTATGATTGGGGGTCACCATAACATGATGAGGTACATTAAAGGGTTGCAGCATTAGGAAGAATGTGGACCACTGCAGTTGTTTACTCTTGCTTTTTAAATGATTACAAAATCTTCAGTATTTTCCTCTCAAACATAAAATCGATTTTCTTTACATATTTTCTAGTTGAATAAATATATTTTAGAGAAAAATCGGTTACAAATATAGTCATTTATGAAGACCCTGGTTATTAGGGAAATTACTTCACTGTGAAATCTAATTTTAGAAAAAGATTTAAGATGATTAAAAAGAAAGAATAGTGGGGTCGTGGTGGTGTAGCCTTTAATCTGAACACTGGGGAGCCAGAGGCAGGCAGATCTCTATGAGTTCAAGGCCAGCCTAGTATACAGAGTGAGTTCCAGGACAGCTACAGCTGTTACATAGAGAAAATCTATCTCAAAAAGAAAAAAAAGAGTTCAGTGCTGTTACATAATTTAAGATGAATAAAAGGTTCACCATCCTCCTGAGCCTGTAGATTGTAGACTTCAATTATACAATAGACTTATAGAGAAGTATAATTCAAGTAGAGCTGCCTAAAGCACCTAGATTTCAATGTTTATATTTGAAATAAGGTTATTTCTAATTTTAAGAGTAAAGTGTGATCATGATGTATATAATCACACACACACATATACATATAGTGACAGGTAGTCATTAATGACAACCTTTGTATTTTCTACAGCAGAAGATGGAAGATCAAACTAGAAATGTATATTAGTGCTAGGTTATTGACATCTATGAAGACTGGACAAGAGGTAGTTAGCCATTTTAATACAGGCTTCTCTGAGCCAATGAAGACTCATACTGATGAAATGATGTGATAAGTTAACAGTTTGGATAAAGCAGTTGCCATACAAGTGTAAGGATCAGAGTTCAGATAGTCTGCCCCCATATCAAATCTGGGAGCCAGGCCCACCTCTAATCCCAGCCCTTGGGAGGCTGACGGCAAGGGGTAAGGTTCCTGAGAGGAAGCTGGCTGGTTACCTAGCCAGAACTTTATAACTTCTTCAATAAATGGGGAGTGATTGAGGGAGATGTGGACAAGTTTGAGTTGATATACCCTTGAATGCACTCATGAGTGCTCATGTCCGTCCACACAAAAGTAAACACATGTAAATAAAGAATTCTAGTCACACATGAATGAATGTGAAAGAGTAAACAATAAGTGAATTAGATAGTATCAACAATTTATAACCCAAGATGTCTCATAGGATGCATTAAAACCATGTTCAAAGGGATAATCTCCCTTTCCACCCCTCTCTCTCTCTGTACATGCTTGTGTGCCTATGTTTAGGCAGTGAAATAACATGACTTTTTAGTATGCTAGATATGAAGCATAAATACCTTGTTCTGACTTTTAGGGAGTTGCAATTCCATAGATGAAAGAATATGTGTTATTTTTCTAGTGTTACAAACTGTAGATATGGGAAGAATGAGATTATTTTTTTCAGAGAATCATTGTTAACAGAGTATAGATTTCTTAGGCATTTACTGAGGTATAAGTAAGTCTGTGCTTGGCCCATCTAACTTACATTGGGCAATTGTAATGTTATTACCCACTCAGACACCCACTTTTTTTTTTTTTTTTTTTAAACGATAGGGTTTCTCTGATTCCTTTTTGAATGCTGAAACTAAAAGCGTGTGCCATCATCTCCCAGCTTTTCCTTTCTAAAAGATGGGTAAAATGAAAAAGGTTAGAGAGAGTGAGGGCAAGCAAAGATCTCTTGTGGGCTTGTTGTTAAGAGACAGAATATGATCTTAATTTCCATTGAGTTTGAAAAAGTGAGACAGTGTAGTATTGTTAACAGTAATACAGAGAGTTAAGAAGAGATAAAGTAAGTAGATGTTTCTTCAGATAAAAGTTAGGTAAGTGTTCAGTTCTTTCCTTGAAGTCATCCTCAAGTGGTTATTTTAATGAACTAGTATAACTTAAATAGGCATAGTACAGTTGAAGAAAATGACTCTCTTAACTGTATGTCAGATGTGGTGAGCTCTAGTGCTCTGAGGCTGAGACAAGACTGCTGTTAACAGTTCTAGACAGTCTTGGATATGTGGCAAGTCCCTGTCTCTAAAAATTAATTATTTAAGTGAATAATGAAAGAGAGAAGTGTTCCTGTTTACACATGTGACCATTAACAATCTTTTCTCTTAAATGGAGAAACATGTAAGTGCTTTAAGGTTTTGTGAAGCTAGAATTAATACATAGAAGACTTTACAGAATGGTACTTAGCATACAGGAACAATAACAGGGATGGTGGACTTCAAGAGGTGTTGCTGATACATTGCCACAGTGGTGAGCATGTTTTTACCACTCAGCTCTTGTTTATGCCAGTTATCTGAAACTTAAGCATTTTTAAAGGTGTGCCAAGACAAGTGGGTAAGGCTCTTATGAAGCCCAACTGTCTGAATTCAATACCTGGAATCCATGTGTTAGAAGGACAGAACCAACTCCTGCATACTTTTTTTCCATGCCTTTGCTGGTAAAAGACAATTTATTTTGAATAGTTTAGACATGTGGGTGATCATAATAAATATTCTAGTGATGCTAGTGAGGAAGCATGAGAAAATCTCACACTTGCCTAGTGTCTGTTTAAAAAGAAGATGATAAAGTATTTGCAAAGAGAGTTGAAAATTCTTTTGGAAGCTGAATTTCAAACCTGTAATTCATTATTTTTGTAGCCTATGTGTATTGAATATATACTGCCTACCAGGGAGTATTTGTCCTGTATATGTCCTGAGAACTAAACACATACTATCCCAATCAATTACACAATAATATCTACATTTTGCAAATTGAATTTGCAAATTCTGCTTCTAATAACTTACAGACTTACAATGAAAACTTAGAGCTGTAAAACTATTTATAAAATATACTGTAATTAGGGAAGTGTGAAATTTAGAGACCACATTTCAAAATTTTGTAACCAAGCACATCACCCTTTAATCTGTATTATATAGTGTAAAATAGTATTAAAAGATTTTGTTTAAAGTATTGAAGCCACTTGTTATTTATGAATATTTTACAAAATAAATGATTGTTTTTCCTCATTTAAGATGTTTTTTCCCGGATGCCACTCATGAATGGCCTTATTGGACCCAGTCCTCATCTTCCACATAATTCTTTGCCTCCTGGAAGTGGATTGGGGACTTTCCCTGCTATAGCACAATCCCCTTATACTGACGTCAGGTATTTAAAAATCTTACTTTCTATGAAAACTTAAAATTATACTAACCTTTGTTCTATCATAGTCTTTTAAATTATCCATAATATTAGTATTTGTTATATTTACTGTGAATTTCACTAAAGATCATCAAGCATATTTAAAGCTATTTTGTAACAAATTCTAGAGTAGAACTTGAACACGGTATTAGTAGAAAGTTGCCTTGTTCATGAAGTGAAAGTGTTTTGTTATTTTTCCAGGGATAAAAGTCCAGCATTTAATGCAATTGCAAGTGACCCTAACAGCTCCTGGGCACCAACAGCTCCCTCTGTGGAAGGAGAAAATGATACCATGTCCAATGCCCAGAGGAGCACACTCAAGTGGGAGAAGGAGGAGGCTCTCGGTGGGATGGCCACAGTAGCGCCAGTTCTCTACACAAACATTAACTTCCCTAACTTAAAGGAAGAGTTCCCAGGTCAGTCATGGATGTACTATGGCGCTTAACAGCTTTCTCTGGAATGTCATGCATTTGTTTTGAAGAATACAATGGAAAGTCCTTTTTCCATCACATGCTTCTCTGATCTGGTTGCCCATGATTCAGATTTCTTAAATACTCAGTAAACCTAGGCCTTGTACTCATATTTGTCTATTTCCCAAAACTTTCTTTAATTTGTGACATTGTCAGTTTAGTTAATTCTTTGAGAGTTTCTCATGTATACATTGTATTTTGAACATCATATCTTTTCTTTCACCTCCAACCCTTCCCAGATTCATTCCCTCATCCCCTTCCAACTTTGTGTCCTTCTTTAAAAACAAAACAAAACAACAACAAAATAACAACTCACAGAGTCCAGTTTGTGGTGTCTGTATGCTCCGGGATATAGGATCCACCCAGCAGAGCATACTCTATATCTTAGGGGTCAAACCCTTAAGGAAAATTAATTCTTCTTCCCTTAGAAACCATCAACTGTCAGTAGCGTCTCAGCTAGGTGTTGGAGGTCATGAGCATCCCCCTCCTCCAGGATGCCTGGTTCCCACAGAGGCTGGAAGAAGAGGGCATTGGATGCCATGGAACTATAGTTACAGATGGTTGTGAGCTCCATGTGGACACTAGGACTTGTACCTGGGTCCACTGGAAAGACAACCAGTGATGGTAACTAGTGAGCACCCCCTTCTTCCATTCCTGTCATGGGACTATCTTAGATTTGAAATGCAAACCCAAACAAGATATCCATCTCTTTTATCTACACCTGATACATGACTGTGCTGAATCATCAGCTGTGATTTCAGGGTGGAACTCAAACGTTTTGAATTTTAGATAATTTCTGATTTTCAAGTTATTGATACTCAACTTGTTTTTTTTTGTGAAAATTTGACCTGAATAAGTCGGTATGCAGTTTATTAATGTCTTTTATTATAACACTGTGTCACCCTGTTTCTGAAAATGTGTCTTCTGTTCTTTTACAGACTGGACCACTCGAGTGAAACAAATTGCCAAGTTGTGGAGAAAAGCCAGCTCTCAGGAAAGAGCACCATATGTGGTATTTACATAATTCCTATAAGTTAGATCTTTAAGCACAATATTTGAAACTTATTTTTATTAGGCCAAGAAAAGAAATATTTGCCAATATCTAGAAAACTAGCAGTTAGCTTTATTTTAAAGTTATATATTAACTTTCACTAAAGAACAGAAGTTTGCTGGGTGGTGGTATAGCACACGCCTTTAATCCTAGGCACTTGGGAGGCAGAGGCAGGCGGATCCCTGTAGTTGAAGACCCGCCTGGTCTACAAGACCTAGTTCCAGAGCTAGTTTCAGGACAGCCTCTAAAGCCACAGAGAAACCCTGTCTCAAAAAAACCAAAAAACGTTTTTTTGTTTTTTTGTTTTTTTTTTATTGAAGAACAGACCAGAGTATTTTAAGGGCTGTTAAGATAAATTAAGTATTTTAATTTATCTCATCTTAAAATCCTTTTACCTCTTAACAGTGCTGCATTTGAAGATGAGATTAGTTTTCTTTGTGTGTGTGTGTGTGTGTGTGTGTGTGTGTGTGTGTGTGATTTACAAAGGAATCTTCATGCATCTTGGAAGAAACATGTTGAGACTTCCTTTATAGAGTTCTGAAATATCACCATAGTTGGAAGTGATTAGTGAATTCACAAATGAGATAGTAATTATTTTCTCCTGAGCTTCTCCTGCAGCCACAGTAAATCTTGATGGTCAGGGAAAAAAAAAGGACATTTCATCAACATTACTTCTATGTATCAGTTATCAGTTATGATGATAACTTAGGGTGGTGCTAATAACTTAGGGTTACTTCTACTGTTTGTTTGACCTTGAATTTAATAATGATAGAATTTTTATGCTTAATTTTACTTGAGTTTCAGAGTTCCAGTTGTTTGAGTTTGAGGATCAGTTTGTTATTTTCTTTTTAATTGGGGGATATGCCAATTCTTTGTTCTAATGATGTGTTTGAATTATAGTAAAATATATTCCATTACAGTGGAATTTCTTGCCATAATTTAAGCACATACATAGAAATGTCTTTACCTGGTAGTAGCATGCACTATGGAGATGGCAGGTTACTATCCAGGTTTTTGAGGTGATCTTTTTTTTTTTTTTATTTTTGTTAAAGCAAAAAGCCAGAGATAACAGAGCTGCTTTACGAATTAATAAAGTTCAGATGTCCAACGATTCTATGAAAAGGCAACATCAGCAAGACAGCATCGATCCCAGCTCCCGCATTGATTCCGATCTTTTTAAAGACCCTTTAAAGCAGAGAGAATCGGAGCATGAACAAGAATGGAAATTTAGACAGGTATGGGGTTTTTGGATGATTTGGTTTTTAAATTGCATTTTTGCTTTTTGGGCTAGAGAGTTAAATATTTATGTCCTTTGAAAATATAGTTCTTAGTAGAACTTGAAAAGTTTTAAAATAGATTACCCTTTTTGGTAAAATATATATTGAAATTGGTCTTAGATATTTATCGAAATATTATAGATAATATATACTACAAGAATATATGGGACATGCTACTGTGATGACAATGTCTTCTGTTGTCTACTAGAACGAAGTGTGCTGAGGTCAGGTGCTGAGCATTGTGCTGCCTTTCTGTCCTGATAGCTTCTGTCCATGATAGTTGTTCTCTTCCTTTCTGTGTTTCCCAACAGCAAATGCGTCAGAAAAGTAAGCAACAAGCTAAAATTGAAGCCACACAGAAGCTGGAACAGGTGAAGAATGAGCAACAACAACAACAACAACAGCAGCAGCAACAACAACAACAACAGCAGCAGCAGCAGCAGCAGCAACAACAGCAGCAGCAGCAGCAGCAGCAGCTTGGCTCGCAGCACCTTCTAGTACCTTCTGGTTCAGATACTCCGAGCAGTGGAGCACAGAGTCCCTTGACTCCTCAGCCTGGCAATGGAAATGCGTCTCCAGCACAGACCTTCCATAAAGACCTGTTCTCCAGACACCTACCCAGCGCCCCTGCTTCCACACCTTCAGATGATGTTTTTGTCAAGCCACAGCCTCCCCCACCTCCTCCAACCCCATCACGAACACCCGTTCAGGAAAGTCTTTCTCAGTCCCAGACTTCTCAGCCAGCTTCCCCACAGATGTTCTCACCTGGATCGTCTCATTCCAGACCACCATCTCCAGTGGATCCTTATGCAAAAATGGTTGGTACTCCTAGACCACTTCCTGGGGGCCACAGTTTTCCCAGAAGAAGTTCTGTTACACCTGTAGAAAACTGTGTGCCTCTATCTTCAGTACCTAGGTCCATTCAGATTAATGAAACAGCCACTAGGCCATCCCCAGCCAGAGATTTGTGTGCTTCCACCATGACAAACAGTGACCCCTATGCAAAGCCTCCAGATACACCTAGGCCCATGATGACAGATCAATTTCCCAAACCTTTTAGCCTTCCTAGATCCCCTGTGGCTACAGAACAAACTACAAAAGGCCCTTTAGCAGCTGGAACCAGCGATCACTTTACTAAACCATCTCCTAGAACAGATGCTTTTCAAAGGCAACGGCTACCTGACCCATATGCACGCCCATTGTTAACACCTGCCCCACTGGATAATGGGCCTTTCAAGACGCCACTGCACCCCCCTCCACCTCAGGATCTGTATGGATCTGTGTCACAGGCATCAAGACGACTCTCTGTTGACCCTTATGAAAGGCCTGCCTTGACACCAAGGCCTGTAGATAATTTTTCTCATAGTCAGTCAAATGATCCATATAGCCAGCCTCCCCTAACTCCACACCCAGCAATGAGTGAATCTTTTACTCATTCTTCAAGGGCTTTTTCTCAGCCTGGAACCGTATCAAGATCAGCATCTCAGGACCCATATTCACAACCCCCAGGAACTCCACGCCCTGGTATTGATTCTTATTCCCAAACCTCAGGAACTGCTCGATCTAATCCAGATCCTTATTCTCAGCCTCCTGGTACTCCCCGGCCTAACACTATTGATCCATATAGTCAACAGCCACCAACTCCCAGGCCTTCTCCACAGACAGACATGTTTGTTACACCTGCGGTAAATCAGAGACACGCTGATCCTTATGGTCATCATCTTGGGACACCAAGACCTGGGATTCCTGTTCCCTATTCTCAGTCACCAGCAACACCAAGGCCAAGGACTTCAGAGGGTTTTACTAGGTCCTCCAGTGCAAGACCAGCTCTCATGCCAAACCAGGATCCTTTTTTGCAAGCAGCACAAAACAGAGTACCAGGTTTACCTGGCCCTTTGATAAGGCCACCCGATATGTGCTCCCAGACGCCCAGGCCACCTGGGCCTGGCCTTACAGACACGTTCAGCCGTGCTTCCCCTTCTGCTGCTCGTGATCCCTACGATCAGCCTCCGATGACTCCCAAGCCTCAGTCTGATTCTTTTGTAGCTAGTCAAGTTGTCCACGATCTTGTTGACCGTCCAGGTCCTGGGTCAGAGGGAAACTTTAGCACATCTAACCCTGTAAGCTCCCAAGGACAGCAGTTCTCTAGTGTCTCCCAGCTTCCTGGACCTGTGCCAACTTCAGGAGGAACAGATACACAGAACACTGTGAATATGTCTCACGCTGACACAGAGAAACTGAGACAGGTAAACATTACAGTGTTTTCAGATGTTTTAAATATATTATTTGTGGAACCTGATTAAATCAAATGCTATTTTTTCTACACAGATGTTAAAGTTTCTTTTTAAAATTATTCTTTAGAGTTTATTAAATAAAATGAAAATGGAAATGATAAAATTAACATCAATTAAATTGAATCTAACCTAGATCTTATTTCATTCGTGAATTTATTGGAAGATCTTTAAATATGAAAACTCTTACTTTTATGGTGGTTGTTTGGCCATGGAAAAAGACCCAAATCACCAGTTTTTGTTTGATTTTGGGGTATGTGTGTGTGTTTGTGTGTATTTAAAAGTTAAATGTAAGTACTGTTTTATGATGCTTTAAAGCATTTTGAAATTTTAAAAAATGTAGTCACATAGTGGAAACATGAGTTTTAAAATGTCTAATTGTAGGTCCCTGCAATTTTGTTTCTTTCCATGTAGCGGCAGAAGCTTCGTGAAATCATTCTTCAGCAACAACAGCAGAAGAAGATCGCTAGTCGCCAGGAGAAGGGGCCTCAGGATATACCAGTAGTGCCTCACCCAGTGCCCCGTCCACACTGGCAGCCAGAGAGTGTCAACCAGGCTTTCAGTCGGCCTCCTCCTCCCTATCCTGGGAGCATTAGATCTCCTGTTATCCCTCCACTAGGACCTAGATATACAGTTTTCCCTAAGGATCAGCGTGGACCCTATCCTCCTGAGGTGGCTGGTATGGGGATAAGACCTCATGGATTTAGGTAATGCTTTTAATTTCCCACTAGATTTAAGTAAATATTAGAAGAAACTGGACAAATAGTACTATTGTACAAGAAGTTATTACAGATTTCTACTTCTTTAATCACTGTGAGATACATTTATTATTGTTTTAAACTAAGGAAAGGTCATGGACTTCTTCCCTCTAAGAACTCTAAAGCTCTTGATAGAACCTTTGTCATTAAATGTTAACACAATACCTGTAATCTTCCTGATTTAATTCATCATGCCAGCCAAATCATGTCTTCCAAACTACTGTATCCTAATGAAGCTTCTTATGATGTGACAGATGATAACTATACGTTTTACTCTTGTTTAAATTGTAAGATATTTATAGAAAGGTGCCTCTCTTTAGAAACTTTGGGTTACACAGTTGAGTTGTAGAGTAGTGGGCCAAAATGTATGACAAACACAGACTTGCTACTCTTTTAAGGAGAAAGCTTTTTAATGTGACACACAATTTAATCTTGTACCTATAACTGTTATATTCTTTATTTCCCTTTTTATTATACTTTAGTTGTAGTTTGTGCCCATAGCGGATTTATGTATTTTTTTTTTAAAAAGTTGTGTTTGTGTGTGTGTGTGTGTGTGTGTGTGTGTGTGTGTGTGTGTGTGTGTGTGTGTGTGTGTGTGTGTGTGTGTGTCATGTACATGTGAATGTGGAGGTCACAGGTTGATGCTGTGTGTCTTCTTCTATCACTGCTTACCTTATATTTTTGAAATAAGGTCTCTCATTTAACCTGGAACTCACCAGTGAGCCTGAGGATGCTCTTGTATACAAAATGTGGTTGTCACACTTGCTCAAAGAGTTCTCATGCTCTCTCTCTCTCTCTCTCTCTCTCTCTCTCTCTCTCTCTCTCTCAATCTCTCAATCTCTCTCAATTCTATTTGGGTGTGCAAGGTACAAGATATATGTGGCAGCTAGAGAACAACTTTGTGGAATCAGTTCTATCTTTCATGTGTCTTGGAAGTCCTACCCAGGTTACTTACGTGGCAAGCGTTTTACCCATTGAGTCATCTCACTATCCCAATTTCGTCTATTTACAAAAAAAAAAAAATTAAGTTTTTCATATTGTGCATTTTGATCTTGATCTTTTCTTCTCCCGTTTCCTCTCAGTCTCTTGCATTTTCATTGTCATTGGGCTTAGCAACAGTATTTCTTTCTTTTTTCTTAGCTATAGACTAACTTAAAACTTTATTTTCTCGCCCTAATCCTAACTTGACCATCATTATTAATAATTTGGGTATTTTGGTTTTTTGCTTTTAGATTTGGATTTCCAGGAGCTAGTCATGGTCCCATGTCAAGCCAAGATCGCTTCCATGTGCCTCCGCAGCAAATACAGGGATCTGGAATTCTCCCACACATAAGAAGATCAGTGTCTATGGAAATGCCTAGACCTTCAAATAACCCACCACTAAATAATCCAGTTGGGCTTCCTCAGCATTTCTCACCACAGGGTCTGCCAGTCCAACAGCACAACATACTAGGCCAAGCATTTATTGAGTTGAGGCATCGCGCTCCTGAAGGAAGGTCCAGGTTGCCATTCGTTGCTTCTCCTGGCAGTGTTGTAGAGTCACCTTCTCATCCCCGACATGGAAACTTCATTCCCCGACCTGATTTTCCAGGCCCCAGACACACAGACCCTGTGAGAAGGCCTCTCCAGTGTGTACCTAATCAGCTGCCTGTGCATCCAAATTTAGAGCAGGTCCCACCATCTCAGCAAGAGCAAGGTCATTCAGCCCACCAATCTTCTATTGTCATGAGGCCTCTAAGTCATCCCTTAGGTGGTGAATTTTCTGAGGCTCCTTTGTCTACATCTACTGCAGCTGAAACAACACCTGATAACTTACAGATAACCAGCCAGTCTTCTGATGGTCTGGAGGAAAAGCTAGACTCTGATGATCCTTCTGAGAAAGAACTGGATGTGAAAGACCTTGAGGGAGTTGAGGTCAAAGACTTGGATGATGAAGATCTAGAAAATTTAAATTTAGACACAGAGGATGGCAAGGGCGATGACCTGGACACTTTAGGTAATTTGGAAACAAATGATCCTAACCTGGATGACCTCCTAAGGTCAGGGGAATTTGATATCATTGCATACACAGATCCAGAACTTGACTTAGGGGATAAAAAAAGCATGTTCAATGAGGAATTAGATCTTAATGTTCCAATTGATGATAAGCTAGAAAATCATTGTGTAGCACCTGAACCAAAAAAAAGGGATCAAGAAGACAAAACTGTGGTTCTCAAAGATAATGATTTGCCACAGAAAAAACCCACTGGTACCAGTGAGATAAAAACAGAAGCACTGTCTCCACACCCTAAAGAAGAAACACAAAGTGAAATGAAGAAAAGTGAGGACAGTAAAGGTGATGCTGACATTCTGTGCTCACCGACTTCTGCTCATACAGACCTGAGTGACAGGGAAAAGACTTCTTTGCTGCCTACAGATCCAGATACGCTTGAGAAAAGAAACAATTGGGAAAATGCTGGCTCTGGTGTCAGTGCTATTCAAGGGCCAACTCCTCTGCCTGCTCAGGATGTGATGAACTCTTGTGATATAACCGGATCAACTCCAGTCCTTTCAAGTTTACTTGCTAATGAGAAATGTGATAATTCAGACATTAGGCCTTTGGGGTCTTCCCCACCAACTCTGCCCATTTCACCATCCACCCACGGGTCAAGTTTGCCTCCTCCTTTAATAGCACCACCTGGCCCTCTGTTGGATAATGCCATGAATTCTAATGTAACAGTGGTCCCTAGGGTAAACCATGTTTTTGCTCAGGGTGTGCCAGTAGTAAATCCAGGATTCATTCAGGGTCAGTCATCAGTGAACCATAATTTAGGGACAGGGAAACCTCCAAATCAAACTATGCCTCTCCCAGATCAGTCCAGCACCAGTGGCATGTCTGGACCGCAACCGCTAATGATTCCTCAAACGTTAGGCCAACAGAACAGAGAGAGGCCCCTCCTTCTAGAGGAACAGCCTTTGCTTCTACAAGATCTTTTGGATCAAGAAAGGCAGGAACAGCAGCAGCAAAGACAAATGCAAGCCATGATTCGTCAGCGGTCTGAACCATTCTTCCCCAACATTGGTAGGAAGTTCCAAAGTAAATTACTGGGGCCTTTGGGGTATATGCAGCATGCTTCTAAGATTTCACTATTGAAATTTCATTTAGAGTAAAGCACTGAGAATTTTCTGTCTTTTTGGAATATTAAATGAAAACAGGAATATTAGATTCCTTCCAGATAGTTGAAATGATACAAACTTTGAATTGTGAACTCATTCACTTCAGCTTTTTATAGTGTTAATGGAAATTAGTCCTTTTTAATTTTATCTGCCAATTGCTACTAAGGAATCTTCTTTCAGAATCATGAAAAGATAAATTTAAGAAATTATTATAGAAATAAATCTTGTTGTTTGTGTTTACGTGTTTTGTAGTAAATTTTTTGGTTGCTTTTTTTTTTTTTTTAACAAAAATACAAATCCATGCAGCCTATATTCTTCAGTGACCTGCCTTACTAGAATTAAAAATCAATAGGCACATATCTGAGGAATGCTTTCTTGTAAACAATAGTGACAACAAAAAAGGATCGAGTCAACGTTGCAATACAAAGTCCATCATTTGATCCTTTTCCCACTTACATGCAAAGAGATACTCGTTCAAGATTTTAATTGTATCGGTACATCCTCGAGACATTGGTAATTTTCTCTTCCTTTTGAAAGCTGATAACCAATTTAGTGGAATTCTTTAGCATTGGAAATAGTTGCAAATTCTTATTCCTTTTGTTGCATCTCCAAAGAGATCATCCTAATTAGCACTGTAAAAGTTTGAACCAATAAGAATTGCATTCCTGTACCTACTGTTAAGATTACCTATAGACTGACAGACTTGTTCTACTTACTGAAGGACTAATGTCTTAAAGTAAGCTTCAGTTATAAATATCTGAAATGTAGCTAAATTCAGGATTAGATTGTTACCACTTTTGGATTCCTCTATACAGCATAGAAATATTTGATGGTTATTAAACAATAAAGTATAAGAAACTATAAATTGTTTAATGGCTGTGATACTTGAACCATGAACTTGAACTATGCAATAAGTAATTTCAATATATATTTCTTCTTTAGATTTTGATGCAATTACAGATCCTATAATGAAAGCCAAAATGGTGGCTCTTAAAGGCATAAATAAAGTGATGGCACAGAACAATCTGGGCATGCCACCAATGGTAATGAGCAGGTATGTTGGAAGTGCTATTTTTCTTCCTGGGTGTGTGAATGTGCATGAAAACACTGTGGCTTCTCAGAAAGAGGTCATCAAAACTCATAAATCTGTCTTCTGACAGTGGATATGATCATAATAAAGTGTTAATGCAGATGCAAGGAATTAACTTCCACTAGTTTTTTTTTTTTCCCCCGGGGGTTTGGGACGACTGACTCAGTCATTGACGGCATCCAAACTGGTGTGGGTGTGTGCGTGTGCGTGTGCGTGTGCGTGTGCGTGTGCGTGTGTGTGTGTGTGTGTGTGTGTGTGTGTGTGTGTGTGTGTGTGTTTAAACTTAAAGAAGAAGTATTAGTGCTAAGATATTTTTTTTTCATTTGAGAATCTTAGTGGTTTATAAAAATGTAATTCAGCTCTGAAATGAAATATTCCCAAACCGACTTTGAAAGCAGCAGCTTATGTGACATTTGGATTCTGGTAGTTTGATAGTTGGATAGTTTTAACACCTAACAGAAAAATGGAAGTTGTGCATTCAAGAGGGTTAAAGTTAGAGTGGTTATGTACCCCATTGGAAGGCTTCTGATATCTTGATCATTTTCCAACTTCAGAATTATGTGAGACTTTTTTTTTTTTTTTTTTTTAATTCAGTTTCTTTGCCTGACGACAGACCTGCTGGATTGGAATGTCTAGGGATGGTGCCCACATGCTTGTATTTTTTGACTAGTATCTTGAATAACTCTCTTGTTGTATTGCTGACAAAAGTATTCTGACTTTTGTCAGAACAGTAAATAGATCCTTAATTTACTGTAATGATCCTGTTGAAAAATTATCAAAGGTAGTATAAATGATTGTGTAATTGAATATAGAGTCAGTATAATTTGAAGAAACAGGCATATGCTTCAGAGAAAGAACTGTGCAGATACTCTGGATATGATTAAGATACATTTTTTTTTTTTTTTTAGGTCAAAAGTAGGGATAGTGGTTTTTTCATTATTGAACAGGATTTATTGGCACTGTTACTCCCTCACGGTCACTTTTTATCGAATAAGCCTTTGAAATCTTTGAAATTCTTCTCAGATATATTAAAAAAAATACAAAATTGAAAAGGAAATGAACTGTATTTGGAACATAGTTACTAATATATGATTATACTTATAAATATATATCATAGTGTATTAACAGACTTAGCAGTAAGTTTTATAATTACTATAATTTGAAGGTAATGATTGGCACTGACCTATTAGGTATATGCAGCACTTGATAAGAAAATCGTGTCTTTCTTACTGTGAGCATGTGTACTACTGATAATTATTATATTTTAACTTGATAGTCAGAGTCAATGAAGTACTAGGTTTTGTTACGCTTTCAATTTAAAACATGGGCCTCAAGATCAGAAATCGAAGCATCTCTTGTGTGTTCAACATAATTGTGTCTGTGTCTGTTAGATATGCAATACTTGTCAGCCAAATGGTATGTGTACTGGTGACTGTTTTGAGTGCTAGCAGATCAAAGATAGTCCCTTTTGAGAGTGGTGTTGTGTGTTAATGATGATGTCAGACAGACAGAGACGAGAAGGGAGATATATGAGTAAGAAATCACAAATATATACACAGAAGTCTAATATGAGTTTAGTGCTTCTTTAAAGTATTTGGAATATATTTTGAAGTTGTGTTAGATGTATATCTTAAAGCGTTCAGTGACTCAGTTGTACAGATATGTTTTCAAATAAGCCATCATGCTCATGTGGCAATTATTGGTTACTTTTGAATAATGTTTCACCAGACAGGTTTAACAAATGGAGGTTATAGTCACCAGTTTTATTTTTTAAACTTGGTTTCTTCATTAGATAGGAATAAGTATGAGAATAAGTAAAATGTTTTAGATATTTCTTTTATTTTAGAATATAAAAGAGCTAACTAGGACCCCCCCAGCCCCTCCTCTTTGTTTCCCAAACCCCCAGTATCTCATTCTGTTGCCCAAGCTGGCTTGGAACTCTGATGTAGCTCAAGCTGGCCCTGAAATTGTGGCATTCCCCCTTCCTCAACTTCCATATGAGCCACTATGTTCAGTCTACATGTTCATTTTTAAATAAAGATTGCAGTTGGGAAAAACTTCCTTAGTTTGTGCATTGAAATTAGATTTTCACCATAATTGTATCCCAAAAACTATTTTGTTGAATCTTATAAGAGCCCAAGCTCTGTGTGGAATAGCTCGGCTGGCTTATTATGCAGCCATGCTGGTCTTCATGAAGATAGCTACCTAATCGTTCTGAGCTTTCCTGCGTGTTGATGGAGGGTGCTGTAGTTCAGGGACAAGCTCTGTGAGCACCCTGAAGATGATTGTAGTAAGTCTCAGATGGGGAGGTTTGCCACTATTCTTGTCTTCCCTGGAAGAGAACATTATTAGACACCTATGTAACTGGTTCTAAGCTCATCATTTGATACTGTGTCCCTCCTTTACAGATTCCCTTTTATGGGCCCATCAGTGGCTGGAACACAAAACAGTGAAGGCCAGAGCCTGGTGCCTCAAGCTGTAGCTCAGGTAATGCTGCTTGAATCTGTTGTTTATGGAGGACACGTGGACCTATGTCCTACCAAACCCAAATCATAGTGAAGCCCCTCCAAGAAAGAAATAGGAGCCCATCTTCTGTTAACACAGGGAAATAAAGATATGTTGTTGCTGTATAAACAAAAGACAGATTTTAAACACTGGAATTTCTGCTAAGGACTTGCACACATTAAGCATAGAAAGTCACTTGGAGGGAGACTAAGTGCTTTGGGCTTCTGGCTTTATATTCAGTTGTTAATCCTGAAAGACATTTCATATCCTGTTCATTGGAATTAATCCATCACATTTAAACGTAAAACTGCTGGAAATAAGGGAAAATGTCTGTAATCATTCTATTAGGTATAATTATTCCTTGAGATGTCTTTGTTTTTGTTTTTGTTTTTTTTTTTTTTTGAATATTGATCATTTATAACCAACTATGCTATGTTCATGGTATCAAGTCTGGAAACAATAACTCTTCTCATGTGTTATTTTCTGTGTTGACTTTTAAAACATGTATCTACTTGATTCAGCCAGGTTGGGGGTTGGTGGACCCTTGCTCTGTGTACTTTTATATTATCATATACTCTGCCAGTTATAATTTTTATTTACTATACACATAATTTTTGTTTCCTTATTACAAAACACCCTTTGCTACACTGTAAAGGCATAAGCATAGTTGAGTTTTTCAAATTCTGCCATGAATTCAGTGTGTATTTTGAGGAAGTTCATGAGCCTCTCTACTGCTGTTTTAAATGTTACATCAGCTATCCTGTAGTACTGTAAGATTGAACATGCCGTTTTCTGGCTGTTGAACACAGCTCATGTCTAAAAGAACTTGTATCAACTGGGTAAATGTTTTTTTCAAGGTTCTATCTATCAGGTCCTTGACAGCAAATTGTGAAATTATCAGCTATTCAGTCACTGTGAAAGAAGCCAGGCATTAGTTAGAACACAAGACGAACATTATAATGAGTGAATTTTCTTTTATATGTTTACCACATTAATTCTTGCTATAATTAGTCTTTTGCTATACAGTACTGTTTAGTGAGTCTAGAACATGTGTTTATGAATTTATTAACAAAACAAACCAGGTAGGCATCATCAAAACACCAGATTTTATGTGAATATTTAGCTTAACTATGATAAATTTGGTTTACCCTCATATTATATTCCAGATGAATAATTTATTATTTGCTTTTCAACTAAATATGAAAAATATAGTCCAGAGATAGAAGTAAATGTTCAGATACTAAACTGTTTTCCAACTAATTTATTCTAGTTTTTATAAGGAAAGACAAACTTTAAAGATGTTTTAGAAAATTAAAATTTTTCCTTTTTTTTTCATTTTTTCCTGCATTTTGAAGTTTTTTTTCCCCACTTAAACTGAAGTATGGAATTAAACATATTTGTAAATTTTACTTATTTTAGGATGGCAGTATAACACATCAGATTTCTAGGCCTAATCCTCCAAATTTTGGTCCAGGCTTTGTCAGTAAGTATAAATCTAATAAGTTACCTGTTTTCTGGGGATTGCTTGTTTGACTGTATTTGTGTTGTTCTGAAACCTTGGAGTTAGTGTAGGAGTGTTACTGTAAGTCTGAGTGCCCTCATCTTTTATCAGTGTTCACTGTCCTCTAGGCATCTTTACATCAAGGCATGTGTTTTCATTGCTTTTTTTTTTTTTTTTTTTTCTGCTATGCATGAAGAGTTAGTTAGAAGTAAATATTTTAATGCAGGAAAATAATCTCCCTATTTTCTTCAACATTGTTGCTCTTTTAAAAATAGATTTGGCACTTTCCAATCTATATCATTAAACCACGTTTGCTCTCATGACAGTCTGCCTATGACAAGGACACTAGATGGGGAAAAACAAAGGGAATATGTTAAAAAGAAGCTGGGTTGTAGTATGGTGTGAAGGTAAAGTGTGCAAAATGCCACTGAACCCTTCTAGCTGTCCTTAGGGGTCCCAAGGTGGTTCAGGATAGCATTTAACGTTCCCTCAAACTGAACCTTTCTGAAATCTTCAGACTGTTTAGCTAACTTTTTTCACCATTATCTTTCATTTTGCTCACCTCTGCTCTCCTGGTTCCAGAAACCAGAAAGGCTTTCCTTGCGGTAGGTCTCATTCTACCAGAAGCAGAACTTCTGAAACCTTGTGAAAAAGCCTGTTCTTGACAAATGCCCTTCAAATTTCGTGCACTAGATTGCACATTCATACATATACTAGAACTTTTGGGTTTAGGAACAAACCCAAAGTCTGACCTTTTGAAATTCCCCCACATTAATTATGATCATAATTTGAATACATATTTGTATTAAAAACAAGTAAACTACTATAAATAACCAACTGGCTTTTTCTGGCTGTATTGTGCCCATTGGATTTGGTTGGATCTTAATGTATGATAATCTGTTATCATTGATGTTGTTCTCAGCTAATGACCTTTTAGGACTGTGCTCTTCTTTGTTTTGTAGTCAGTGAAAGGGAAACTGAGATTTTTCACTACCTGAGCTGACTTTTTGGAGACTTGGCGTCATTGGACTAAAGTGCTCTAGGAGAACAAGGCGCTCTCTCAGCACGAGACAAAGATGTGATGGGAGAGGGCTAGCAGTCTTCAGAGTTGAGGGATTACTTGCTTGGTTAGCTATCCCTCCCCTGGTAGACATAGCAATTACAAAATGAATGGGTTATCAATATTTTCAATTTACATATTTTGTTTATAAAATGTAGACTTCAAATTGCTTCTTTCTAAAGTTTTCTGGGTGTCTTCTCTCTGTTTAATATATATACCCCCGCCCCTCAACTACTAAGATGTAGGGAAAATATTATAAACAGAGAAATCAGCATGGGAAATGACTACCTAATCCATGCTCTGGATGTTAGTGGGATTTATCTCCCTTGCCTCTTTGTAAAATTGAAATAAAATGCACATACAACTTAATATACAGTTTGATTTATGGATTAGATAAGTCGATGGTTCTTTTGGAAGATTGGAGTTGCAGAACTTACAAGTGTTAAGTTAACTAGTGTTTTAATCAAGCATTCTCTGGCTTTCTTGAATAAATGCTTTTTCTAAAAGCTGATACTTTATTGTTATATAGGACTGTGATATTGAGAATTATCTTTCAAATATTCACAAAGAAATTGTATCTTACAAATGAACTTGTTTAACTTTAATAATTTTTTGACTTGTAATTTTGATTTTTCCCTTAGATGACTCTCAACGTAAGCAGTATGAAGAATGGCTGCAGGAGACCCAGCAGCTTCTTCAGATGCAACAGAAGTATCTTGAAGAACAAATTGGTGCACACAGGAAATCTAAGAAAGCTCTTTCAGCCAAGCAGCGCACAGCTAAGAAGGCAGGGCGGGAGTTCCCAGAAGAGGACGCAGAGCAACTCAAGCATGTGACTGAGCAGCAGAGTATGGTCCAGAAACAGCTCGAGCAGGTAATGGACAGGTTTGGAAGTCTTCTGCTGTCGAAGAGGTGTTTTGATGTGGCATTCATTCAAAGGTTCAGGGTTTTTGTTTGTGCTGTTAAATGGTACGCAAATTACACTACTCTAAGACCTCTTAACAACTGAGGAAGTAGCTGCCTTGTCCTGTCTGAGTGATGCTTGCTGCCATTTACTAGCTTCCTGGTTGCCACTAAAGAGAGTGATCTTGCAACTCTGAATTAGAACTTTCATACCCTTTCTTTTCTTTTGTCCTAAGAAATCACTGTAATCACAGCACCTGGAAGGCTGAGGCAGGTAGATCTATATGAATTCCAGGCTATCCCTGTCTAAATAGTGAGTTCCAGGCCAGCTAAACACATGTTCTCACAACATTTGGTAGATGAAGGCTTTCTTCAACACGAGGCTCACAGAGACACTCTAGCTTGGAATAAAAATCAGATCTGGCAAGTACTTAGTTGCCTCCATGTTTATCTTTACCATGTCCTTTGTTCTCTGCTCTAACTAAAATTCTGATAGTTGGTTTGAATTTCTGGTGATTCTTTTTCATAGTCTTTAGTTTGCTTGTTTGGTTTTTCAAGACAAGGGTTTCTCTTTGTAGTCCTGGAACTCACTCTGTAGACCAGGCTGGGCTCAAACTCATAAAATTTGCCTGTTTCTGCCTCTCCAGTGCTGGGATTAAAGGCATGCACCACCATCACCTGACTTTAATAATATAATTTTATGTTTATTTCTTATTTTGGTCTAAAGAATCATAACTTCAGTGAAGGACAGAGCTATAGTTTGGTAGTACACACCACCACTTGAAAAGAGACTGGCAAATCAGTCCAGGTCTGGTGGCATGCTTGCTCATTAGTCATCTATTAGATTAGGGCTTTAGATTCAGCCGTCTTCCTCCAAGTCACAAATGCCAACACAGTGTACCTACAACAACATGGTGATTATACTGCTTTCATAGCTTAACAGACTAGGACCATTACAGGATGAGAGCTTCTTTTCTCTTTAGCTTCATTCTCTGGTTCTATGTTCATTGTTGGTAAATACTCTTTAAAGCAGATAATTACATGATGTATTTTTAGTATTTTATGTATTTTCTACCCATGACAGATGTCATCTCAAAAGTGTCCTACTGAGTAAAAGCAGCATGATGAAAGCCTAGTTTTTTGTGAATCAATTGATGAAATCCTATTTGTGAGCTAATATACTTTCTTTCAGAAATTAGGCAGGCGCATCCTTAACACATGGTTGCCTATAATACCCTATAATCTCAGTAAGAAAGTAGTTTATAGATTTTGTTTGTGTATACTGGCACATGAACCTGAGTCTTTGCACTTACTAGGTATCTTAGTTTCTTTTCCTGCTGCTGAGATAAGAGTAACTTAAGGAAGAAAGGATTTATGTTGGATCATAAGTCCAGGTTATACAGTCCGTCATGGTGGAAAAATCAACAGCCGAAGCTTGAGGGAGCTGGTCACATTGAAATTGTAGGCAAGAAACAGATGTCAACTGTGTGCATGCTGGAGTTTACTTCAGTCTCCATTTTATGCAGTTTTGGATCCCTTATCCCAGAAATGGTCCTGTTCAAAATTAAGATGGATCTTCCTACGTCTGTAACAGTCTAGATACCCCCCCCCACACACACACACACACACATACACACATACACACTGGCATACCCAGAGGCCCATCTCCCAGGTGATGCTAGATTGTCAAGTTGACTGTTATTTTCCCTTATAATCACTCTACCCCTGAGTTATAATCTCCATTTCTTAGAAGAAGTAAGAAATGACAGAGACAGGTTATTGTGATACTTCGTTGTGTGAAGGCACTTGTTTCCAAGTCTGAAACTCACATAGTGGAAGGAGAGAATCAAGCCTAAAAATTGACCTCTAAATTCCGTACATATGTGTGAATTCCATACACATTCCCACACAACAAATACTCAAATGTCAAAAGAAGACATGGAGGACCCTGGGTGTGTCCCAGATACCGTTCAATGTACTCTGTGCATCGCACTGCCTCTGGTTATCAAGCTAATCTTAATTTCTCAGTTCCAAGCTGTAAATTGTTAAGAAAGAACAAAAAGAGATCGGAATGGGCTGGCAAGGTTGCTTCTTGGTTGGTAAGGGTGTGTCCTGTCAAGCCTTATGGCTTGAGTTCAATCCCCAGAACTCACTTGGTGGAAGCAGGGAAACAACTCCTGTAAGTTGCCCTCTGGTCTCTGTATCCACACTGTGGTATGTGGGCACCCACAGGTCCATACAGTAGATCTTAAAAGAACAAACAGAAAGATAGAAGTTATACACTATTATAGAGGAGACCAAACACTTTTATTTTGCAAAATATATGCTAGCTTGCCTAGGAAATCCAAGAAAGTAAATTTGATTACTATTAGAAGTCCTGAGTTATATATGTTTATGCAAGAGGTGTATGGTGACTGCATTTTAAAATGTGCATATCGCCGGGCGTTGGTGGCACACGCCTTTAATCCCAGCCTTGGGATGCAGAGGCAGGCAGCTCTCTGGTTTCATGGCCAGCCTGGTCTACAAAACAAGTTTTAGGACAGCCATTGCTACACAGAGAAACCCTGTCTCAGAACAAAAAAAAGAAAGAAGGAAAGAAAGGAATCGTAGTAGATGGTTACAATTTTAGTATGTTCTCAGTTATTCTAACCTTATATATTAATGTAATTTCTGTGGCATTGTACTTTGTTGTTTTCTGTTTTATCTTACTATTAGATGTGTTGTAGTTTAAATGGCATGTGAATTTAATGTTTATTTCAGAAAACTAGTTTTTAGTTTTTTGTGGATATTTAATATGTAAAGAACTTTCATAAGTAAAAAAATTTTTCAAAATATTTTTGTTTGGGTGCACATGATCAAATGTACTACAGCATATGTGTGGTAACAGGATTTAGGAGTTGGCTGTCAGCTGGGCGTTGGTGGCCCATGCTTTTAATCCCAGCACTCTCAAGGCAGAGGCAGGCAGATCTTCGTGAGTTTGAGGCCTTCCTGGTCTACAGAGAGAGTGCAAGGATAGGTTCCAAAGCTATACTGAGAAATCCTGTCTCAAAACAAACAAACAAACAAACAAACAAAGGAATTGGCTGTCTACCTCTGCCATGTGGGTCCCAATGATCTAAGTCAGATCATAGGCCACCAAAATTATTAACCAGTGTTTTAGTATGGTACCTGCCTTTTATATGTTTGACTAATAATTACTTTTATTGTTTCAGATTCGTAAACAACAGAAAGAACATGCTGAGTTGATTGAAGATTATCGGATCAAACAGCAGCAGCAACAGCAGCAGCAACAGTGTGCCCTGGCCCCTCCCATCCTCATGCCAGGGGTTCAGCCCCAGCCACCTCTTGTTCCAGGTGCCACTCCAGCTACCATGAGCCAACCCAGCTTTCCCATGGTACCCCAGCAGCTTCAACATCAGCAGCACACAGCAGTCATCTCTGGCCACACCAGCCCTGCTAGAATGCCCAGTTTACCTGGATGGCAACCTAATAGTGCTCCTGCTCACCTCCCCCTCAATCCTCCTAGGATTCAGCCCCCAATTTCCCAGTTATCTATAAAAACTTGCACACCAGCCCCAGGAGCAGTGTCAAGTGCAAATCCGCAGAGTGGCCCACCACCTCGTGTAGAATTTGACGACAACAACCCTTTCAGTGAAAGTTTTCAAGAGCGGGAGCGGAAAGAGCGTTTACGAGAGCAGCAGGAAAGGCAGCGAGTCCAGCTGATGCAAGAAGTAGACAGACAGAGGGCTCTGCAGCAGAGGATGGAAATGGAGCAGCATGGTCTGATGGGTGCTGAGCTAGTCAACAGGACACCTGCGTCCCAGATGCCATTCTACAGTTCTGACAGACCTTGTGACTTTTTGCAGCCGTCAAGACCCCTTCAGCAGTCTCCACAACATCAGCAGCAAATGGGGCCAGTTTTACAACAGCAGAATGTCCAACAAGCATCTGTTAATTCACCCCCAAACCAAACTTTCGTGCAAACCAATGAGCGACGGCAAGTAGGACCTCCATCCTCTTTTGTTCCAGATTCACCATCTGCTCCTGGTGGGAGCCCAAACTTTCATTCTGTTAAGCAAGGGCCCGGAAGTCTTTCTGGGTCCAGCTTTCAGCATTCCCCATTGAGGCCTCCATTCCCACCAGTTTTATCAGGAACACCTCCAGTAGCTACTAGCAATCTCCCATGTGGCCAAGATGCTGCTGCAACCCAGGGCCAAAATTATTCAGGGTCAAGCCAGTCTCTCATTCAGTTGTATTCTGACATAATCCCAGAAGAAAAGGGGAAAAAGAAAAGAACAAGAAAAAAGAAAAAAGATGATGATGCAGAATCAACCAAAGCACCATCAACCCCCCACTCAGACTCCACTGCTCCACTCACCCCCGGCATCTCCGAAACTACCTCCACTCCTACAGTGAGCATACCCAGTGAGCTTCCTCAGCAAAGAGAAGAGGAGGCAGTGGAGCCAGTTTGCCCTCCCACTGCCAATATGGCAACAGGCCAGCCCTGTATAGAGTCAGAAAACAAACTTCCCAGCAGTGAATTCATAAAAAGAACTCCAAATCAACAAATACATGTTAATTCAGAGGTAGACAAGCCTTCCATGGAACCCCCCAGCAAAGCTGAAGAGATAAAGCTAGAAAAGACTGAGACAGAGTCATGCCCACATCAGGAGGAAGCCCATGTAGAAGAGAAAACCGGTAGTAAGATTGAAGACACCATGGCTTGTCCTGCTGGAGCCCCTGTTACCAAAGGAGATACAGGAAATGAACTACTGAAACACTTGTTAAAAAATAAAAAGGCCTCTTCGCTTCTAACCCAGAAACCTGAGGGTACTTTCAGTTCAGATGACAGCTCTGCAAAGGACAGCAAACTGGCTGAAAAGCAGAACCCAGCAGAAGGATTGGTAAGTGTCAGTTGTGAAAACTGTAACTTGCCTTTGTTTTAAGTTATTTTAGCAGATTAATGTCAACAAGTTATTCATTTAAAACTATTTTGCAGCTTTTTTGTTTTTATTTCTATGGAACCATGGTTTAACTTATATTAACAAAATATTTGAGTAACTTATTTGCTTGTTATTAAAGCAAACATTACTGTATGCATTATATGTGCCTTTCAGCTGGTTATTGTAACCAAGTTGGATGAACTATAGCAAAGGAAATATGTGTGAACCTTTATAAGTGCATAATTTCCATTAGCCTCTTTAAAATTTAGAAGACAGTTTCTGCACTTGTCTTACTTTCCTTGAGTACTCTCAAGAATCACCCTTATTGGGAACTACTGGTGTCATAAAAATAACATGATTTTAGATGTGGATACTATTTCCATCTTTGTAGTTTTCTATTTATCGATATTCTACCCATTTTAAGTGTTAACATTGGATTTCCTTTTCATTTGTATGATAGGCAATTTTAGATACACACTTTGATTACAGAGTGACCCCGTTTTAGTGAACTTTCATTAAGATGTTTCACAAACAGGAGTTTTTTTTCCCCATCTTTGGAATAGGTCTGCTTGTTGTTTTGCTCCTTGTCTTTCATAAGTAGTGGTGGTTTTAGTGCATTCACAGAACTTCCCTGGGATGCTGCTCAGTTGGGATTTTATAATTTTTACATTTTAATTGAAGTGCAGTAGTGTTTTTTCTTGGCCAAATTTGCAATTTTAAGAATAATGAAGCTTGTCTTCTTATAAGTATTGGCTGTATTGCTGACTATAATCGTTCTCTGTCGTCTCCTATCATCCAGTAGAGATTGAGCATTGACCTAGTGGTTGTTACTTTTATCTAATTTGCAGTTGTGGTCTCTTCCTTGTTTTAATTTATTCTTTGAGAGTTTCGTGCATGCATACAGTGCATCTTGTGGTTGTGCTTTTCTAGTCTTTTGTTTCTGGTAAATATGCTGTTACCCAGGCCCAATCCCTGGCTGCTGTCTCCAAGGCATTTTGCCTCTGAGAATACTGAATGCCCTCATCCCCAGGACCTTTGTCCTATGCCCACTGTGCTCTCTGCTCCCCCATGTGCTGCACCTCCTTCTTTACCCCTATCTTTTCCTAATTTCTTGTTTTCTTTTGTGAAAGTTGGTTCTGAAACCTTGTAGATAGCTTCCTGAACTTGACCAATCACAGATGTGTGTGGATGCCCATGTGTTCACATCACATTTGCTGTGAGCATTGCTCGCATAGACTTTACCCTCAGCATGTCATCTAAAATTTGTGCCATACAAGAATGTTTAATAGCACAGCGAAGCAGGTACATGTCAAGTACAAAAAGTAGAAACTAATATATTAGAATGAGCATGAGGTGTTAGCTCTTAAGATGAAAACTAACAAAAACCATGTGAAGCTGTACATGGTAGTACCCACTTGTAATCTCGGCACTCAAGAAGCTAAGGCAGGAAGACTACAAACACTCAAAACATCAAAATAATAAAAGAATAAAATACAAGTCTTCTGTGATCTTCTATACTTGTACCTTAAAATATAGTTATACCTACATCTTAGGATAATTGTGAAAATTAGAGATAATGTCTGTAAAGCATTTAAAGTGGCTGAGGTATGCATACTTAACATACTTGCCTGGTCAGTCTCTCATAATCCAATTACAGAAATGGTAGGCCTTTGGTACTGAAAGGGCATTCCTTAAGGACCAGTAGCATGCACGTTACCTGGAGTGATTTTACAGCATACCAAATTTCTTGTACTACTATAGTCCTAAATCAGAATGCATCAGCCAGCAAGATTCCCCTGGTGAAAATGTACTAATGCTGGGGAAATGCTGCAGGCCTGATTACATAATTATGGTGGCCCTATTAAGGCAGAGATTGCTGGTTCATTTGGTGTAGGATTGGACCCAGAGAGTCCCAGGGCTCCTCTGTTTCCCTGACACTGCTCTTGGAGAAATCAGGGATCTACCCAGGCAGTGTTAGTGTGCTTCAACCTGATCTGTGTGAGCTAAGAATGTGTTCTGTAGTTTTCAGCAGTTGGGAGAAATCTAAGAAAAAGTAGTTGTTTATGATAAATGAAAATTTTATGAAATTTAAATTTGTCCATGAATTTTAAAAGTTTTATTGGGCCATGGCCAACTCATTCATAAAAAGTGTATGGCTGCTTATTACTTATTTCCCTTTGCCTATAATTTTGCCACCCACTTGATGTTCCTTAAAACATAATTAGAAGCTATAATTTTCAAAGCCTTCAAAAATTATATGCAGAATTGATTGTACTAAGTTTTGCAACTATAGTTATCTGCAACAAACCATGTTAGTTTTAGAAATAAGCATGAAAAAATATTCCTATATTTTGATATTGGTACCTACAGACTTAGTTGAAACCTAAAAAAGTCCTGTATCACTCTCACTTCTTCATTACCAGGGAGGCAAAAGAAAAAGGAAAGGAAGCTAGACACAGAGATGGCTTAGTGGTTAAGAGAATGTAGGATTCTTGCAGAGGACCTGAGTTTCATTTCTCCACCCACATGGTGGTTTGTAACTATTTGTAACTCCAGCTTCAGATGACCAATGCTCTCTTCTGACCTCAGCAAGCACCAGGCATGCATATGGTGTGTATATAATGCATATATAGATAAAACATCCACACACCTCCATAAACAAAATAAATCTTTTTTAAAGCAAAGGAAAGATAAATTTGCTATCATCTGTGTTCTCTTCTTTTGACTAAGTATATAGCCATTATGTTTTCATTCAAATGTAGGAATTGACACTCATTTGAGGGGCTAGTAAGACATCTTACTGCTTCCTAGCAGCTGCTTTCTCACCTCAGATGTACGGGCTTTAAAATGTTCCTGGAACCTGTAAATTAGCCCTAGATCACAACAGTTCCTAGTTCCTCTGGGAGATCAAAAATAAATCGTCAAGGCCACTGTACAGAAGCTGCCCAGGCAGATGGCTTGGTGCCTCCTTGGCTCCAGCATACACAGCGAGGAGTCATACTTCATTCTTCTACCTAGGAGTGCTAAACTTTCCTACAATATTGAGGCTGGCTACTTTTCATATTTTAATATACCTGAATGCAGAAGGAAGGAGGGACAGTTACTTCAGAAAGCAACCTCCCTGTGTAACTTCCATGCAATGCCATGCTTTCTATATGAAATCACAAGGTGGAGCTGGTCTAGCATGAACTGAGAGTCAAACATGTGGGTAGTTACTTACTTCTTAACCTTTCCAATTACATTAGCAAACTTTGGGGGCTCAAATGCAAGGTGGTTTTGGAGGTGGCAACAGCCAGTTGCCAAAAACAGATGGAGGAAGTGAAACCAAGAAACAGCGAAGCAAACGGACTCAGAGGACGGGGGAGAAAGCAGCACCTCGCTCAAAGAAAAGGAAGAAGGATGAAGAGGAAAAGCAGGCTGTGTATTCCAGCTCTGACTCCTCCACCCACTTGAAACAGGTGAGCTGTCAGAACAGCCCTTGCCACTTCCAGGATGGGGAGAGAGCAAGTGCTTTCAGCCCTATGAAATGGAAGCTTTCACCTAGTTACCGTTAGTTCCTAATTAAAATAGTGAGCTGCAGGGATAAAGGAAGGATAAAGGGATGGACAAGGAAACTAATGAACTTGGTTTGCTAGCAAACCTGCACTTTACGTGATTGGCACTTGAGATTTACATTCCAGTAGATGGATTGGTAGGTGATGGTCAAGACTTACGTATGTTCAGAAGGAGCAGCTTCAGCATCAGGAAACATTGTCCCCCCATTTCTTGTGACTCTGGACCCAGAGAAATGCAGCCATGGACTCTCATTTAAACTCTGCTTGTTACACCTTTGTGGTTGGGAGGGGACCACTTCCCACAACTCCCGTTCCCATTGGCAGGGCCTGACCTCTGTTCATGGCCTGGTTCTTACTAAACAAAGATAAGGAGCATGTTTTTCTGGTAAGGCACATGTTGTCATCTCTTTAACAGATGGGGATAAAACTTATTTGACATATATCCCAGAGATTCTATAGTTTGCAACATTTTGAATCTTCAGATTTTTAAGTCTTATTTTTCACGATCCTTATTTGACTTCAGGTCTTAGGAAGCCCCCAAACACTTCCATGTTTGTTAATCATGTACATTACTTTTAAATGTGTTTTTTAATAGCAGCTTTCTCTGCTCCCTCTAATGGAACCGATCATTGGAGTGAACTTTGCGCACTTTCTTCCTTATGGCAGTGGCCAATTTAATAGTGGGACTCGACTTCTAGGAACTTTTGGCAGTGCCGCCCTTGAAGGGGTCTCAGACTACTATTCTCAGTTGATCTACAAGGTATGTCTCTTTGCCAGGGTGCTGCCTTGCTTCATGTCGGAGAGCTTCCCACCACTGGGCAATGTGGCTTAGTTTTGCATCTATTTTACATGGAGTCTCCCAAGATTCACTGAAGTTAGTTTTAGCTAAAAGATAAAAGTGTATCTGGTTAAGTGTTTCTAATATGTATGCTTGAAAATTCCTAGAGATAAGAATACAAATGGTGGAAAATATCCATTGTATATTAACATTGTGAAGGAAACATGTTTTTCCTTGTAGCCTTTGTTAACTCTTAAAATGAATCAAATTGATGGTACATAGTGGGAATAAAAAGTATGGTTAGATTTTACTTTGGAAAATGAATTTTAAAAGTTTTAATATATTTTATCAAATAATTTAGGTGCTAATTGAAATTATGCACTAATTCTTAGGTTACCAAAATAGCATAAAGTCGATAGTTTCTAATTGAAATTATGCACTAATTCTTAGGTTACCAAAATAGCATAAAGTCAATCAAGTCAATATTACTTTAAAATATTTTTATGATTGCATCATAAGATCACTTTACTTCGTATCTGACTTAAACAAAGCAATTACTTTGAGAAATAATGTGAGAGTGTCTGTTTTCCTTGTGGCTTTTCTTCTGTTATTAAGATAACCGTCTCCACGATCCCTTTGTTGTCCTTATGGCTTGTTCTTCAGTTAGAATTCCTCAGTGCAGGCTGCTCTTCAGTGTTACTTCTTGTACTCTCTCCTTGCACTGCACTATTATATGTAGTTATTACAGGGTGACACCAGCATTCCTTGGAGAGACCAAAACTTAAATGACAAATTGGTGGCAAATGTAAGGCTGAAAGGGATAACTGAAAATCAACTGTATTTCTTAGTATATTTGGTACCTTTACTATTTTTTTTTCTCTTTTTATTTCTTTTAGAGACTTTGGGCAGTCCAGGTTCTTATCTCTGAGATGTAAAATGCCATTATATTTTTAAAATGACAAACTGCATTTTTATAGAAATAGGACCTATTTTAATGAAAGTTGAGTAAAGGAATATTTAACAACTTTTGCAACTTATTCAATTTCAAAGCTGCTTTTCATTGGTTGTTGTAATCATGAAACTTAAAAAAGGTTACATAAAATAAAATTAAGTGTAACAAAAATTGGGTTCTTCATTTCAAAGCTGAATGTTCAAGTTGGGCCAAGTAGGCAAATGGATAACAACATCCCATTCCGATAACCTCATGGCCCTGTGTGTGTGCGCGTGTGCGTGTGTGTTCTTGCATATTTGGAAATGGAAATGCCTCTGGATTATGTTTTTATAGTCTTGTTTCCTTGTACTAAAAATTCACAGAATTAGGTTTTAGCAAGGTCAATTCATATTTGCTCAGTAGCATATAATTTAAAATTTTTTGGTCTCCTGCAGCAGAATAATTTAAGTAATCCTCCAACACCCCCTGCCTCTCTTCCTCCTACACCACCTCCTATGGCTTGCCAGAAGATGGCAAATGGTTTTGCAACGGCTGAAGAACTTGTTGGAAAAGCTGGCGTGTTGGTGAGCCATGAAGGTAGGATAACAGTGTCTAAATCTTATACTTCTGAAGAGTCTTCCTTTGAAAGTTGTGTATCAATGTTCACAGAACTTGTACAGAGCTATCTATGTATCAACTTTGCCCTACATATTGGTTCTATGTGTTTGATGTTGCAGTTGCCAGAACTTTAGGACCGAAGCCATTTCAGCTTCCTTTCAGACCTCAGGATGACTTGCTGGCTCGAGC